AGATGGCTTCTGAGGCCGAACAGAAGACGGTTGGTGCCGAGAAGAGGGTCTAGGAAGAGCGGGTTAGCGAGCTGGACGACGTTGCTTTCGGGGCTTATTTGGACGGGATCGAGGACACCAAGAAGGCACACCTGGCGGTGTTTCCGGACTTCGATGTTGAATCTCTGAAGGTGATTCCCTATACTCCCAAAGAGGCAACTAACTCTACACTTCCTTCTCCAGTTGGTGGAGAGGTTTAAGCCAGAACTTTTATTTTTGTGTATTTGGCTTGAAGGGCCATAGAACAAATTTGTAAAGCCAAAAAGATTTTTTTGTACATAATGAAAATCAGAGGAATTTTTTGATCTTTTGCTTCAACTGTTGCACTTGTGTACTATTGCACTTTGTGTTTTGCTGTATTATCTTTCCTTGTATGTTTTCGCATCGTTTTTTGCACTTATGCTTTTGTTGCTGAAGGGTCCTTGCCCCTCCAAAGGAAAAAACACAGCGTGGGATGGGCATAGTTCTCTTCAGTTACTTTGTTCTATTTTTGTGCGTCAAGATCATGGCAAAGGGGTGGCCGAGGTGAAGCCTTCGAGGCTGAGCCGGGGCTTGCCTGACCTAACACCCTTTTAATCATTCACTTAGGCGGGGCCGAAGAGGCCTGTGATGGGGAGAGGTCGAAGCGGGGTGCCAAGCTTTCCTGACTTTCTTCCCTTTACTTAAATGATAGCAACATGACCCGTCGATGTAGAATGGGGTCGAGGCTGAGCTGGGGCTCACCTGTCTCCCAATTTTCTAAGTGTTGGGTTCGGCGGGGCTGAAGTGGCCTACCATATTAAGGGGCGGCCGAGACAGACTGGGGTTCATCTGGCTTCGTGGGGCCTAGGTCGAGCAAGGGCTCACCTGGCTCCCGTATCCCAATGTGTTAACCTTGACAAGGCTGAGGTGGCCTACCATATTGGTGGGTGGCCAAGACAGAGCTAAGGCTCGTCTAGCTCCATGGGGCCTAGGCAGAGCCGAGGCTCGCTTAGCTCCCATGCCTCCGCACACTTGTTTTCACGGGGTCGAGTGCAACACTCCGATGAGGCTGACTTCTTTTACTAGTAGCACTAAGTGTAAAAGTTCAGGAGGCTAGTCGCCACCGAGGCGGGGCGTTGAGGCACATGGGGCCCTCGGTCGTTTTGGCATATTCTAACACGCTAAGTCATAGCCAAGGTGTCCGCTACTTATTCGTTAAGTCTTGGCATCGGTTTAGCGAGGGGGTATAGACTCGGAGGAGGCCTTGCGCCCCTACCAGTCACGAGGCCAAAGAGTTATAAAGACATAGTAGGTAAACGCGCTGAGCACTAAGCCGAAGAGGAACTTTGCTTTGTTCATTCCATAGTTTTTAAAAATATATTACAATCATTTGTAGTACATCCAGAGGTTCTCCGAATTCCATGTGCGAGGAACTTTGCAGATGATGTTTTTCCAAAAGAAGTTTTGGATGGCTCGCGCCGTGATGGCGGTGAAAGGCTCGGCTTCTTCCCACTTTAGTGAAGTAGTCTACTGCGATGACGAGGTACTTTCTGCTCCCTGTGGCCGGAGGAAAGGGGCCAAGGAGGTCCATGCCCCATTTGGCGAATAGCAATGGAATGTTGAGGGCCGAAAGTGTGGTGGCTGGCCTGTGGCATAAGTTGGCGTGCCTCTGGCATGGGTCACATCTTTGCACCAATCTAGCTGCGTCCTTGTGGAAGGTAGGCTAGAAGTAGCCCTGCCTTAGTGCTTTTTGGGCTAGGGCTCTCCCGTCGAGGTGGTTACTACAGATGCCTTCATGAATTTCTTGTAACACATAATTGCCCTCCTCTGGACGGAGGCATCGGAGGTAAGGCAGGGTGAAGGATATTAGGTATAGCTTTCCCTCCAACAGGGTTTAATGGGCTGCCTATCATCTAAGTCGTTTTGCCTCATTTTTGTCTTCGGGCAGTTGTCCTGTTGACAAGAAGTTAACGATGGGATCCATCAATGAAGGTTCGGCCTCTATGGGGAGCACTTGGACTTCTTCGATGGAGGGCCGAAGTAGCTTCTCGACGTGCATAGTCCAGCTGAGGGATCCGCTCAAGGTACTCACGAACTTGGAGAGAGCGTCGGCTCGTGCATTCTCGGCTCATGGGACCCATTGCAGGGAGAAGCGTTGAAAGTGACGGGTTAGATCTTGGACTTTGGCAAGGTACTTGTCGTTCACCTGATTTTCCACCAGCTATGAGTCGTTGAAGGCTTCGACATGTGAGGAGTCGGGGTCCCTAGCAAGCTGGAGACCAGCGAGGAGGGCCTCGTACTCGGCTTCGTTGTTTGATGCTTGAAAGTCAAACCTTAGCGCATATTTTAGGACAATATCATCTTGTGTGAGGAGGATGAGGCCTACTCCACTTCCTTTAGCATTGGAGGACCCATCGACAAAGAGCTTCCGTTGAGGTTGAGCCTCATCGTCAACATGATCCCCCTTAACATTTTCTGGGGGTTAGCGAAGGGCTCGACTAAAGGTGCACTCCACTATAAAGTCTGCCATGGCTTGTGCTTTGATCGCGGGCCTCGGCTGGTACTGGATGCCAAATTCCGACAACTCGATGGCCTACTTAGTCAGGCGTCCCGAGGTCTCAGGTTTGGCAAGGACGACCTTGAGGGGCTAGTTCATCAAGACCTCTACAATGTGGACCTAGAAATATGGCCGGAGTTTCCTTGCCAAAGTCACGAGGGCAAAAGCCAACTTTTCTATCTCAGGGTACCTGGTATCGGCGTCACAGAGGACCTTGTTGGCATAGTAAACCGGCTTCTACATGCCATCTTCCTTGATGAGGACTGAACTGACTGCCTCATCCCCAGCCGAGAGGTATAGGTACAAGGTTTCCCCCTTAGCCGACCGGGCGAGAAGGAGAGGTGAAGTAATGTACGCCTTGAGCTCGTCAAAGGCGCATTGGCACTCCTCCGTCCATTGGAACTCTTTCAGCTTTTTGATGGCCCAGAAGAAGGGTAGGCAGTGGTCGACTGACTTTGACATGAAGCGATTGAGGGCTGCTATTCGGTCGGTGAGTTTTTGAGTCTCCTTCACCGTCTACGGGGTTGCCATATCTAGTATGGCCTGTATCTTCTCAGAATTAGCCTCAATGCCTCTCTGTATAACAACGAAACCTAGGAATTTGCCTGATGTAACACCGAAGTCACACTTGCTGGGGTTAAGTTTCATGTTATACTTTCGCAAGGTGTCGAAGGTTTCGGCTAGGTCTGAGACGTGGGTCTCAACCCTCAGGCTCTTCACTACCATGTCATCCACATAGGCTTCAATGTTCCTCCCCATCTGCTCTTTGAACACCTTGTTGACAAGGCACTGGTAGATGGCCCCAGCATTGTCGAGGCCGAAGGGATCACACGGTAGCAGTATGTGCCATGCTCGGTGATGAATGAGGTTTTCTCTTCATTGTCTGGGTGCATCTTTATCTGATTGTATCAGGAGAAGGCATCCATGAAGCTAAGCAGCTCATACCGTATAGTGGCGTCAACGAGGTGGTCTATCATCGGCAAAGGAAAACTATCCTTGGGGCAGGCTCGGTTAAGGTTTGTGAAATCAATATAGATCCGCCATTTCTCGTTAGCTTTCTTTACCATAACCACGTTTGACAACCAGTTAGGGTAGTGTACCTCTCGGATGAAGCCGGCATCGAGTAGCTTTGCCACTTCCTCCTCTATGGCCTTCCAACGTTATGGTGCAAAGTTCCTCTTCTTTTTCCGAACTGTCTTAGAGCTCGGGTCCACACTCAACCTGTGTGTAATGACCAAGGGGTCTATTCCGAGCATGTCAGCGGCGGACCAAGCAAAGATGTCGGCATTGGGTCTTAGGAAACTTACCAATTCAGATAGGCTCTTAGGGGGAAGGTTGGACCCGATGCGGACTGTTTTGCCGGGTTCGTCATCGTCTAGGGAGACTGAGACAAGGTCCTCAGCCGGCTGGCTCCTCCCTAAGGTCGATACCCTCTAGTGGCAGAGCTTCTTTATTCTTGCCCTTTAGTACTGCCACATAACACTGACAGGCGGCATGTTGGTCTCCACGAACGACCCCGACGCCACGCTCGGTGGGGAACTTCAAGGCAAGGTGGTAGGAAGAAATGACTACCTGGAGTGCGTGAAGGGTTGGCCTCCCCATTATAGCGTTATAGGATGAGCCAATCTTGAAAACATCAGGTGACTAATTTATAATCTTTCTTGTCCGACCATCCATTCCAGTCCAATTTTGAAAACACTGGTTAACACCGTTTATAAGAAGGAATTAAATAAAATGAAAAGTAATAATACTTTATACTTTAGAGATAGATCAAATTCGAAAATAGGAGTGCTTTAGTTAAGAAAAAAATATATAAAATTCATTTATATAATGTAATTTCAAATATAAAATTTAACGAAAGTGACTTGAAGTAAATATCTTAAATATAGGTCTTAAGCTAAGCTAGTAATTCAACTTATATTTTTGCCCTCGTAATAAGGGAGGGATCAAATACAAAATATAGGTATTTTAATAAAGAAAAAGTTCAAAATCTAGACCTTATTCTAGTATAGATATAGATATAGTTTAAGAATTTAAAAAGAGATTAATATAACAAAATTTGTATGATAAACTTTTTGGATGATATCGTATTGAACAAAAATGCATATTCGGCCAATTTCAACATTTTAGTTTTTATGCGTTTTCTTATTAGTGGTTCGAATGATAAGACCCGTCTTTCCCATTCTACAAGAAAAAATAAAGAGAAAGTTATAAAAAAAAGAAAGTGATAAAAAAAGGCCCATTATTATTACCGTTTTGAGTCTAAAAATTCATTCTCCCTTTACAAAACCTGGCTCCAATACCCGTTGTTTTTTTAATTACAATTACAAAAAAGTGGATGAATATAATTGAAAAAAATATGTAAATGCAATTCCTATTGACTGTTGAGTGTTGATCGCTTATTCCGGTTTGGCCTTGGGCAGTTGGGCCCCATTGTGCCATTTGGTATTTGAGGACAGACGATACACTCTGTTTCTGCTCTGTCTCTTCTACTTCTTTCTCTCCACCACCACCACCGGTCTCTTTCTCTCTCCCTTTCGTATCCAACTTTTAAAGGAGCTCGTTTTATTCGTCGTAGGATCTCCAGTGTGTTCTCTTGCTCTCGGCAGGCTTTTTTTGGGCTTTTAGATTCGGTCCTCGATGTAAGTTCTCTATGCTTCGTTAATGGCGTCAGTTTGATTCTAGAACAGACGGGATTGTTGTAGACAACTTGGTGATGTTTGAAGAACTTTTATCTTTCGCTCTTTTCTTCTTGAGAAAACTTCTGATCCTTAGACAGTTTGACTATTGCTTGTTGGCACGACTGTTGGGAAAGAGATGTGATTTTTAATGCGTTTTGGAATTTTGAGTGTTTCCCAGATCTGTGTTTTGGAGGATTGAAAAATGTCGAAAACTGGAGCTTTGGATCTCGCATCTGGCGTTGGCGGAAAGATTGAGAAAAAGGAAGTTCTTTCAGCTGTTGATAAGTATACTCTCTTATTCCTTTCTCTTTTTCCTAGTATCTTAGTCGGACGTGCATGTTTGCCTTAATTGAATGAATTGGGGCTCTTTGATCTGATCAACGAAGTTAATCATTGAAAAGTCACGGAAGAATTAGGACTCTTTGATCTGATTTACTGGATACAATATCTATATTCCTTGAATGGCTATTATATGATCTTAAACTCTTAAGAATGTAGACTTACAAACAGTCTTCTAGATCTTACATTTTCTTCCGTGTCACTTAGATGCCGTTTTTTGTTTTGTTGTTTTTCTGTGTTGTACTTTTCAGTACGATTACCATGAACTTCCATTATAACATTATAGTTCAGCTTCTGTCTTTTGATTTTCAACACTGGATTTATTCCACTTGGCCCAGTCTTGCTGTGCTTTTAGGTTGAGCTTTGAATCACAACTTACTCGAATGAAAAGAATTTCGAATTGAATGTTTTTGTGTTCCCGGTACAGGAAAACAACTATTTTTTTTGCTCCCGGGAATACCAGATTCGTTCACATGGAATGTTATAAAATATGCCCTAAATCGCTTAATTAGTGTTTTACGTTCATTATCCATAATTTGCACTCTGTAGTGTGTTTATTTTGGTTTCTATGTTACTTATTCAGTATCAAGTGTCATCAAGGATGCTTGGTGTTTTTGAGTGATATCTGACGTAATTCTGGCTAATAATCCAGGTACGAGAAGTATCATGTATGTTATGGAGGTGATGGGGAAGAAAGAAAATCTCACTATACTGACATGGTAGAGTATCTGTTCTTCTGGTCTCCCAATTCAATGTGAAACTTGTAGACCAATTATCCTTCTGTTTTAAAACATATGTATTTTGGGATAAATTCCCACTTTTGGCTCCAAGCACATTCTATTCCGAATAAACTGCATTTTGTGATAAAACCCAACAATTCCTATGATCATCTTGACATGCAAGAAGTGAAAAAAGTGCATTGTCTGATCTGATGAACACTGCATAGAGGCTATACCATTGACAGTGTGGGTACATCATCTACTTTATTTTTGAAATATTGCTTCAAGTAGTTGGAAATCAATTTTCTTATGAACACTGCACATATAGTCAGGGTTGGAATTTCATGCTCAATTAATTGTTCATGTTTTAATAATGAAGAAGCCTGCACTGAAACAGCACTTGCTGAGCCTATTAATATTTCCCTTTTCTTTGGTATTCTCCTTAATGTTTCTTCCTTGCTTCCATAGTTATGTTTACATAATGCCTAAGAAGATGGGAGTGAGATGTCTGTTATATTACCATGGTTTAGTGAATATTACAACGGATATTTTCAATGGGAAATTGTGCCTTTTACAAAGTGTTACATCTTTGCATTTCCAAATTTTTGATTATATAAAATACCATTCAACATAGCAAGGTAATATGAAAGTTTATCATTATCATTATTATTGGACATGGAACCCATCTTGGTGATTCATTTGCAGCAAAACTTGAGTTTTTCTTTTTTTCCAATTCTTCATTTATTTTCCTGCAAACAATTTAATCTGCTATTTCTGTTTCATATGTATTTTAGGTTAATAAATACTATGATCTTTCAACCAGCTTCTATGAATTTGGGTGGGGGGAATCCTTCCATTTTGCGCCCAGGTTAGCGTATATTAAGTGATTTATTTTTTTGATCAATGTGTATATTAAGTGGTTTAAGTCCTTTCTTCTACAAAGTTTACCGTGATCTGGATATGCATTTTAAAGTTGTATTTCCAGTTTTACCAATGAAAAGCGCAATCTGTATATCTGCAGGTGGAAAGGTGAGTCACTTCGAGAAAGCATCAAGCGTCATGAACACTTTCTTGCTTTACAACTAGGTCTGAAACCTGGACAAAAGGTTTGTTTGGTTCAATTGTTCTTCTGCTGTAACATGAAAATCCCTCAATCATCAAAGTGGTGTTTTCTGGGAGGTCCAGGGCCAACTCAAACATGTCTTAAGCATAGAAGAGCCAACTAAGATTAACCCAACCTGAACTGACCCAACCAGAGCCTAGTTGCTAGCCAAAAGCACAACTAGGGTTGTATCACAGAATCAGGCCAATCTGGGTGCTCTATACAATAATATGAATAAAGGGTACTTGAAATTATGACTATTAATATGACAACGGAGGTCCTACTAAAGATACTTGACAGCTTAATTAGCGATTGAAAAGTTGAAGTTCTTGAGACATACACCAACACGGAGAGGAAATCCAGCCTGATCCAACCTAAATCTTGGATTTGCTAGGCCTGGTTCTGGTCAGCCCAACCCAAGTTGCACTCGCAGTAGTTCCAGTTGGTGCATCTTGGTGAAGTTGAATATTTGCTTTGCCATTGCAGGTGTTGGATGTAGGATGTGGCATTGGTGGGCCATTAAGAGAAATTGCTAGATTCAGGTAACCTACTTAATTGACATGTATGGATTATGGAACTTCTTTTTTGTCCTAGAAAATTAAAATCCTTGATTTTGAAGATTGGGTTATTAATTTGTAACATTACAAATAGAAGAAAGCTGAATGAAATCTATTCTTTCTTTTTATTTTTATTCCTCTCGCTGGAAATCTTTCTTTTTATTTTTATTCCTCTAGCTGGAAATTCTGTTTGGTCCTGGTATTTAGTTTGGAATATCCTGTTGTTTCCTGATGATTATTACATTATTATTTAAATTTAAATTGGTAGAGGGGTGATCATCAGGTTCTGGTAGTTCCCAACATTTTTTTTGCTTGAAACTTCAAAAGATAGTTCTCAAGTCTCAACATGCAAAACTCATTGGGTTAATATAATAGATAGCAATATTTATCAAATATATATATATATAATAGATAGAAATGATGGCTGTTTGTGAGTCTTGAAACTGTAAAGTTTGAGAACTATGATGCCCAGAATCCCTAGATATGGATATGGGAAATGGGATATGCCTCTCCATTTCATAAGTCCTGGACATGAATAAGGGCAAGGTCATTTCATGTAATATGGTTATATCATGCTTATATTATCTTACTCTTGAAGCTAAATTTCATTTCTCAACACTTCGCCTTTCCAAATTTAATTAAAATTCTAACATATACAGTTTTTTATAGTATAATTAGTTATAACATACCATGTTATTTGTTTTAAGGCATTAAATGCTATAGTATAGAGTACATGTAGGCGTGTCTACAGTATTCGGTGTTGTATCCGATGAGTATCATGTCTGACACTGGTATGCTTGGCATGTAAAGGTATCCGGGTATCATAGTCCGATAACCATCCCTCTATCATGCGTGTAATAAATATTTTCCTAGGCAACAATAAAATTTGCTTAAGACAGAAAAGGACGATAAATAGAACTACTAACAGAAGGAACTGGCCCATATTTTAAGGAGGGTACACAGAAAGAAATTGAGTGAGATAGAATGCAATATAGGCCTGCTGTGAAATTCAGCCCAGTGATAAGCTCATTCTCCCAACTATTAGACAACTGAGAGAACAAGGTGGTCAACCTGGATTCCAAGGCTCTGGCAACTCATAACTCAAAAGATATCCTCCAAGGAACCCAAAAAAGGATGGACCTAGCAAATAATCTACTTGAGACTTGAGAGTCTTCTGATATCCGCTCTATCATAACCATGGAGATATGTGAACCTTAGCCCTAGGTCCAATGCTAAATTTTCATCTCTAGAAGCTGGATTACCAATAGAACATCAACATCCATCTGAGGTACTTCAGCACATTTTTGGACTGGAGAGGACCAAGGCTATGAGATCTGCCTAAATGAGAAGAATTCACAACCTAAAACCCATTATCAAGATGATTTTTCAATAGTTACTATCATTTTTTTAATAGATACCCAATTTGCTACACCTATCTTTATCTTGGATCAACTTCTCTCTTAGAAATTCTGCCTGTTCCTTGGCTTCCAAGCACTTCGAAATATAGCCAAAGGTGAGCTCTTGCAGCTTGTCTTTTCCCTTGTCCTGAAAGGAGCCTGATACCATCACAAACTTGGTCTAGGCAGCATGCTCAAGAGTTCTGGTTTCAGCATTTCTGCTTTTTATCTTTTCACTATTAAATAATAAATAGTTTTTTTTATTTCAGTTACTGATGAACATATTTATTTCTTCTGGCATTTTTGAGTATAAATAGCCACCTTTTTTTGTATCAAGTCAAAGTGGTAGGTCTATTAGTTATATTTCTTTGTAATGTGAAGAAGGTACACCGAATATTGTGAAATGGGAGTAAAATGTTATATGCCCTAATAAAAAGATGTCAAACATGGTTCATAACTGGGAAATAAAAAAAGAGGTTGAGATCCACCCACAACTTTTCTCTCTTCTTTCCATGTTGTAAAGAAACTTTTGGTGTCTTTCCACTTTTCTCCCACAAAAGAAAAAGGTCTGGCTGTGACAAAATACTACATTGAGTGCCATTGATTTTATCTTTGTTATCTTGGAAAATTCAGTTGGTTATTCAAGTTAGTTGCTTCTGAACTTTGAGCATCACAAATTTGTATGGTGTTCTATTGCAGCTCAACATGCATCACAGGATTGAACAACAATGAGTACCAAATATCAAGAGGAATAGTATGTTTTCCACATTTTTTTTTGGTTCAATAATATGTTTTTTTTGCTTCTATAACTGTTTAATTGATTTTTGTTATCTCTTTGCGCAACATGAAAACCTCTTAAAATAGCTCTAGAATATATTAATTCTTATATTCTGGTACTGTTTAGAAATTCCCATCATAATAATTTATTTTCCACATTTTTTTTGGATAAATGTTTTCAACTTTTATAACTACTTAATAGATTTGTTGTCTTTGTAGCATTTGTACTAACAACTTTCAGTTGTTTCTTAGGAATTGAATCACATTGCCGGAGTGCATAAGACCTGCAACTTTCTGAAGGTTGTCATCTTCTTCGGTCATTTTACTGAACTATTTGTGGTGTAACCCTTTATGTGCATATACATTTTCCCGAGTTTTTTTTTGGTCTGGAACTTAGTTCTAATAGTATGTCCTTTTGGATTCTGGACCTTTATGGTTGTTGTTTTATGATTATTGAAGGCTGACTTCATGAAAATGCCACTTCCTGACAATACTTTTGATGCAATATATGCAATAGAAGCTACTTGTCATGCACCAGATGCGGTATGTTTTCTTAATGTAATTAAATTTAAATCCACATATATTATATGTTGTGTTCAATGTATCCGATTTTTTTCTTTTATGGGTGGAAAAGCTTGGATGCTACAAAGAGATTCATAGAGTATTAAAGCCTGGCCAGTATTTTGCTGCATATGAATGGTGCATGACTGATTCCTATGACCCCAATAATGCAGTCCACCAGAAAATCAAGGTATTGTATTGCCAGATGCACAATAACCTTCAACCGTTTCCTCCAATTCATTTTTCCATGTACGTATAGACTTACTCCCATAAATGCAGGCTGAAATAGAGCTAGGTGATGGCCTTCCAGACATTCGATCAACAAAGCAGTGTCTTGAGGCTCTGAAACTTGCAGGCTTTGAGGTGAGTAGCATGATCATTGCACATTCCATTAATTTAATTATACTGGAAAAATAGAAAAAGAAAGGAAAAAGAAAAGTAGAGACATATATATTGGTATGACATGGAGATGGTCTGTCATTGTTACCTAAGGTGATATGGGAGAAGGATCTTGCTGTGGACTCACCTCTGCCGTGGTATTTGCCTTTGGATGCAACCCATTTCTCGCTAAGTAGCTTCCGTCTGACAGCTCTGGGACGTTTCTTGACCAGAAACCTGGTAAGTATCATGCTTCTGTCACATTTATATTGAACTCAAAAGTTTGAAAAAATCATCCATAATGCTGCTGTTGCAATGGATATAGAAAAATGCCATTTCTCCTTGTATATTATTCTTTTCCCGATTTTTACAATTCTATGGTGTTTATAAGTGCCAACTTCCCTGCTTTTGTAGGTCAAGTTCTTAGAATTTGTGAATCTTGCTCCAGAAGGAAGTCAAAGAGTTCAAGCTTTCTTGGAGAAAGCTGCAGAGTCACTTGTTGAAGGTGGAAGGTGAGATTCTTTCTGTACATGCTCATCTCTCTCTAAATCCTTGGTACTTGAGAAGATCTCTCTCTCTCTCTCTCCCCCTCCCCTCTCTCCCTCAAAGAGAGAACATATTCTGTTTTATTGGGGGGGGGGGGGTTAACAAAGATGAATTGTCTTGTTACCCTCTCTGTTTAATGGGCTAATTGTTCCAGATACTTAAATGTATTCTTAAATGGTTCATACAGGAGGGAAATTTTTACACCAATGTACTTCTTCTTGGCTCGCAAGCCTCATTAGAACAACGGCAAATCTGGCAGTGCAGTAGAATCTTCTTAAAGTTAGTATATTGTTATCTTTATTTACTTTGCCTACCTTTCCCTTCAAGAAGCAGAAATGGATCCAAAGAAAATTAGTTTACCAGGTGTGCTGCTTTTGCTCTTTAATTTCCTTGATATTCTGGCTAACAACAAACAATGTATGATGTAAGAAGACCAAGCTAGGCAGTTAAGCTTTTGTAAGTTGAAGGATATCTTAGATTTTGACTACTGGTTTTGCCACCTGCTGATGTATCTTAGTTCTTGCTTTTTGCGCTGGTTACATGGTCAGGAATGCATGGCATTTATTGCCTGGACAATATTCTGAGATGAAAAGTGTTCTCGGTTTAAATGTGACTTGTGGAAGAATGAAAGAAACTCGAAGTCTCATGGGCGCCCCACAGCACATCACAGCCATGTATTGGGAACATCTCCCCACATGCACATCTCAGCATGCATTGGGGACGTCTCACGTACTTGTCATTGGGAGATGTTCCCAATACACGATTGAGATGTGCTGTGGGGCGCAAATGTGAAGTCAAGTTATTGGAGCCTAAGGGTAGCGTCTAGATCTGCTGCACTTTCATTTCTATATTTGCTTCATTAAGCAATCAGCATGTGACAGGTGTTCATTACACGTGTGTAAAGATTCATACATGTGGGAATGTTCCATGGGTAGCAATAGCAAGCGTAGGAGAGAAAAGAGTAGCAGATCTGGACTCATAAGATTAGGCCAATCAGATTAACCTAGAAGAGAGTTTGATTCCTGTATATATTTATATGGTGATTTGGGGAAGGGGTTGGAGTGACCGGATTCTCTGTAAACTAAAGTTCTAACCACACTCTGCAAGTATGGGAATCTTGTCCTCCATTGGGAACATCTCCCCTTGAATTTAACTTGTACGGGAGATGTTCCCCATGTGCCGATGGATAATGTCATAGATTTTGCTTACAGGAGATCTGAGGCTCAAGTGCAGTGCAGAATGAAACAATGTATGCACAGTTTTTGCTTACCTAGAAAATATTCTTCGAGCTTCAAAGGATGATAAGTTCTACGTAGCACATAATGAAACCAAGTGCAGTGCATAAATGCTGGGGGGATTGATGAGGATTGAGGTTCAAATTATTGACATACCAGTATGACAGTCGTGTTTTGTATCGATCAGCCTGGAAATGGATGCATCTCGTAATATGTTTTGGATGTAAAGCTCATTGAAGTATATATTTATTATTATTTTATTTATTGTTAGTAAATACACTATATAGTAAAAATTGGCTAATTTGGGTTGTATCAGTCTAGGTTGATTTCGATTTGGTTGGTCAGTTTAAAAGATATAAATTTAAAAAATTAAATTTATGATATAAAAATTATATTATAAATTATATTTAAAATATAAAATATTAATACATATCTATGACTGGTTTGTTTGATTTTGGTTGGTATATAAATGGCTAAAGCAAAACTGATCTAACTTGGTCGGGTTGGAAAATTTTGAATCAAAGTTGATTAAAAATACTAAAAGATCGACAAACTTGGTTGAGTTGGTTGATTTCATCAATTTGATAAACAACCCTAGCTAAAATTAATTATTGTTATTTTTGTATCGTAAAAAAATTTGAAAAGTAGGATTTTTTAAGGTCCTGTGGAAAGAAAGAAATAATAAGATTTTTGAAGGTCAAAGGAGCTCCTAGATGAGTTGGTGGTTCGGGCAATAGCTACTATATACATTCTTGGCTGAGCATGTCCCCCACCATCAGTATTTTGGTCTGAGTTTTTTGTTTACTTGATTAGCTGGGGGGTCTCTTGTATGTATTCCGGACATACCTGTTTTTTGTTGGCTTTCTGTATAGTTTCTAGCTGTACATGGAGTTTTTGTGGATTGACAACTGTGATGTTAACAGTTACACTTATTAATACAATTACCTTATTTTTTCTTTTAAAAAATTGAAAAGTAATATATAGAATATAAATAATTATTAATTATTTAAAAAATTAAAAATATAAAACAATTGTATACTCATATGTATTTTCTACTGTTTAGTTTTTGCTTAACAAATTTTGTGCATCACATGGGTCCCTGCTAGTAGCTTATTAGAATAAGCACTTATTTTGAGCTAGGATCACACCCATAAGAGTTTATTTATATTTGAGAAATAAGTCCAAATAAGTGGTATTCGTGAAATTAAGTGCTTGTTTCAGAAATCCAAAATTTGGGTTTATTTGAAGTGCTTATTTTCTTTTTGGTTTGTATTGGCCTGTTACATTATTGTTTTTTTATACAAGGTCCCTTACATTATTTTAAGTAATTATTAATAAACGCTTATTTTTTAAATTAACATACAAACTCCCGCCTTGCATTAGATTCAACGACTAAGGGCATGCTTGCTTCTTCTTAACTCTTATTGCTAAAGAGGAACCTTGTAACTTTAAGAGGAAAATGATTGTTCATTTCCTCCTATCTCTTATCTCTTAAGGTGGAATCATATATATATATATATATATATAGGTTTTCTAATGATACCCCAAAAACACAAAACACTTCTCCCTCCTTATAACTCAAGGGCTTCATATGCAATAATAATAACAAGTATTAATTATTTAATTAATAACTAATTAAAGTTAAAATTAATTAATACTTATTATTATAATAATTAATAATTAATTATTAATCATTTATTATTAGTAGTAATTATTAAATAATAATAATAATAATTACTATTATTAATTAATAAGAATTATTATAATTAATTATGAAAAAGTAATATTTAATTAATAATTATTAATTTAAAATTATTATATTAATTAGTATTATTTAACAATTAACAATTGTGAATTAATAATTATGATAACTAATTATTAATTAATAATAATTAAAGTTATTATTAATTAATAGAATAATTATTATGAAATATTAATTAATTATTAATCATTATAACAATTTTTAATATTATTTTCTTTATTGAAATACAAAAATTAATAATAATAATTATTAATTCTTAATTTTTAATTACTATTAATTAATTACAATTAATTATTAATTAATAAGAATTATTAAAATTAATTAATAAGAATAATTAATAATTAATTTATACTAATAACTAATTATTAATTATTAATTAACTATTATAATAATTATTATTAGTTATAAATTAAATTTTAAATATTAATTAATTATTAGTTGTTAATTAGTTATTAACTATTATATTAATTAATAATTATTAATTATTGAATAATAATAGTGAATGTAATTAATGCAACATTTATGGCAATTTAATAACATCCTTTCTAGTTTCTACCGAAAAACAACAACATGATGAAAGTTGAATTGGGCAATCTTCATCATCATGGAGAATGCACAAAAAAGAAATCACACCAGTCATCCTATCCACCATGGACTTTGGTGGAAATCATGATAAAGATTTAGAGCTCGTTTGGCAAGTTTTTTTGAGAAGATCTTCTCGTAATTCTGACAGTCAATAGATGCATTGAGCTTTTGACATAAGATCTGGGCAGCCCGAAGACTGTTTGGCAGACGTGCATCTTTCCTTGTGTCGTTTCGGGTCTTTCCGTGCGAGATTAAAACGTGGAAAATGCAGGAAGCTTTATTTGGAGCTTCCTGAAATCAACCCAAAATGAGCTTCTTACGTTTTTTTGGCGCTCCATCTTTTGGCAGCGAGATCTTCGGCATGCCAAACGGGAATAGACCAATTTTCGGTCTTTCCAACTTGTAAGCAGCCGAACGACCACACAAAAAGACATGCCAAACAGGGTCTTAATAATGTGAAACACCGATATAATTAATTAATGGAGTTTGTGGAATGATGAATGGACTAATCATTTTTGATATATAAAATATAATCTTTAGTTCTTTAGTATATAGAATGCCTATAATTAATATTTATATAAATAGCACTACATAAAGATGATACTTGTTCCCATAAATATTTTAAAGAGGTAGGGTAAAATATTCTTCCAAGACTTGTTCTGTATGGAACTACTCATAACAATTTGATTCTTCTAGTCATTAGAATGCATTTGTCCATAAACTTCTGCACAATTTGAAGAGTTTTATACACTGTATATGCCACAGCTACTTCTACATCGATCAACAATAGGAATAGGATGCATCCCAACTCCAAAAATTTTTCCACCAAAAATACAATAAAAAAAAATAAAAAGCCTCCACAAACTTCATCTAACAACCAACGATCGCCCATGCAATCATAGCTACTTCCACCTTCGATGAACCATCATAGTAATTAAACAGTTGTATTGGTATGGTGTACAAACCCATCTGTTAACCTTTTGTAGAATCATTCAAATTCTCAATCCTGGTACGTTCAATCCATTCATGATTCAACCACAAACTTATTTATTTTGGATAATGATACAATCACTGACATAGAAATCCTCTAGAATGTCCACAAAATGAAGCACTTAAATTAAAAATTCAATGCAAACAACCTCCAATTAAAATAGTGTTGTGCAGCCATTTTATCAATAAGCTAGATTCAACCATGTCTGACTAATAGCTAAGGCTCAACCCAAATGAGTATAGTGGCAATACCGTGTGGTGGCGTTGCTGGTGAGAGGTAGTCGTTTGTGGATTGCGGAGGTTAGGTGTTTCAGGGAGTGCAGGCCTCTATAACGTTTTTGGGTATGCCACACATTTACACATTCAGAACAGAGCAATGGACAATAATGGACAGAATTCGGTTTTAGGAAAAAATAACTTCCACATAATGTAAAATGCTAACGGATTTGGACGAAATGTTAACCTAGGGAGGCTTTTGTCTTGTGACATCACAAAGCATGGGAGGTCTTAATCCAATTTGAAAAAGGAGGGGATGTTTTTGTATTTAGGATAAAAATAAAGAGAGGTTTTAGTCTTTTACCCTTTTTTAACTAGTAATTAAGTACATGCGTTGCACATAATAAATTTTTCTTCATATTAATTACTTGAATTTTAGATATATATCATAGTTAAGATAGAAAATGAAAATTTACAAAAGTAATAACATGATTAAAAATAAATTTAAATGCTTGTAGTAAATATGCACGTGCATTTCACATGGAAATTTTAAATTATAATAACAATTATTATTATTAAATTTTTATTCTATTTTTGTTATAAATAAAAATAATTTTTATTTTAATAATTATTTTTATTTAATATGATGAATTTATACCATTAGAAATGTTTCAAAATATTTTCAACAAAATTCTATACTTTTTCACTTTTTGTCTTCTATCTTTTTTTTTTGAATATTTATTATTCAATTCAGTTATG